TTTAGTAAACAGTACTGGTGGAATGACCCATATATCTAGATCTAAATGAAGATTGCGGATGTCTTTTCTATTCGAACGATCGTTTTTTCCTCCGTTTTGGAGTTGGAGGAATCACAATTTGAAGAAAAGAACAATGTCATGATTTCAATTGAGCAGTGAGTCACTCTATTTCTCTGCCTCTCTCCCCTCTTTTTCTGCCTGCCTTGGTCTCTCTCTCTCCTCTGTGTATCGCTCGCATTCTCTTTTTCTTTGTTTGTCTTTGTCTCTCCCCACTTATTTTCCACTCTATCTTTCTCTTGTTCACTCCTGCCAACTGGGGCATTGTGATACTTTCCCCTGATCTCTCACACACTAGGCCTACACACATACACACCCGTACTACTAGGTCTGGGTGCTGAAACTTTCCGAAATCACAAAAGAGTTCCCCTACCGGGTCTGTAAACTTCGTGACTTTGTTCCCAGTTACCGGGTCTAGTATACACTTGTATTAAATTCGTTTCCAACCACATACCTGGGAGGGGGAGTGAGAATAGCATAGCGAGACATGGGTATAAATTCTCACCCGGGGTAAGGTGGCCTACGAGGTGTGCCTCAGAATAAAGTTTCCCCGTCATGCTGTTTTCACAAATAATTATAAATCACCTTGTATTTGGTATCAAAGGAAAGCTTATATTTATTTAAATCGAAGTGACTATTCGGACTCGAGTCCAAATATGAATAAATGTTATTCGGACTCTGATTCTTGTCCAGCATGACATCACTTCCGACTTCCTGTGACTCGTGACTCCGGCTTCCTGTCCTGCCTCACTCGTGACTCGCCTCAGGCTGGGTAGAGACCGGGATCACTTCGGGCAAAATGGCGCTAAATTGTGCCGGAGCCGAGTTTTTATCTTATGATGAATTTGAGGCCGGCCTGAAAAGTTAGAGTGCTTCTAATAAATGTTTATTTGTCAAGAGGTCATCAGAAGCAATTAAAGATCGCTTGTTAGCGTGTGTCGGGGTCAGATGGGCGGCCTGCACACGTGTGGCTGTGTGTGCGTGTCAGGGAAGGGGGGGGGGGGCTCTATCGGTCCAGGCGTTGAACGTCGCATACGCGCCAGTCCCACTCCCCCGGCAACTGATCATTATTACAATAATAAGCTAGTCTTGACGTAGATCTACGTGATGAATTGTGCGCTTGTCTATGGAATCAAAAGTTGCCGTATGCTCGGCTCTAGACAGCAACACAACTTTTTCTTGGTAAACAATCGAGATGACACAGGCTTGTGTGTATTTGAACGAATCGGTCTTTTTTTTTTTTACACAGCTCATAATATGCAGGTGCCAGGAGATCTGCTGATCTTCAATTTTACCTTTTTCTACTACAAAGAAGTGGGAAACATGGGGGGTGGGGAGGGGGGGGGGCGTATCAATGAGGCGGCGGGCATCGGATCGGCAGACAAGGTGTGGGGGAAACTAATAAATGGCGGAAAATTGGAAGCACTGAACGTTAGATCAATAGAACGAAGACACTTCCTTTTTTCCGGACCCGTGTCCGAATAACATTTTTTCTTATTCGGACTCGAGTCCGAATATGAATTTTTTTATTCAGACTCGAGTCCGAATATGAAAAAATGTTATTCGGACTCGAGTCCGAATAATGATAGCCTATTCAAATACCTATTCAACGTAGGAACCATCAAGTTCAAGACATTTCTCCATTTCATGTTCCCAGCGGTCAAAGACAGTGGTCAGTGGTCGTTTGTCCAAGGTCCCGAGTGCCTTTCTCATAGCCTCTTGAATCTGGTCCTTGTCCTCAAATCGCCGACCTCGCAGTATTTTTTTCACCGTGGGGAAGAGGTGGAAGTTGCCTGGGGCGAGATCAGGCGAATTGGGCAGGTGCACAATTGATTCCCACGAGTAGCCCTCAAAAAGCTCGTTCACAACTCTGGACTTTTGAATAGGTGCGTTGTCATGATGCAGGATGACGCCTTCTTCAAGCAAAGCGGGTCTTTTTTTTTCTGGATCGCAGGTCTCAGCTTGTCTTTGAGGACGAACCTGTAGTAGCCACCATTGACAGTTACGCTAGGTGTGACTAGTCAGCTCAGTAAGATGCCACTCATGTCGAAAAAAACCCAATGAAAGTGCATCACCTTTCTCTCCCCATGTTTTCTGTGTGCGCTTCATCTTTCATGTCAGACCCACCTTCAACCTCCCTGATCCATTTCCTTACTATTTGAATTGATGGGTCATTATTTATTCCCTGTTAGTTTGTACAGATCACCATATGGGTATCAACTGCAGACTTGCCGAGAAAAGTTGAAAATTTGATTACAACTCAGAAATCGTAGCATGAGATGGTTGCACCAATGTTTTGCTCAGCCATTTTCCTCGGATTTGCCTGCCTTGGACAAAGTGCAGTAGTACACCACACTTGACACGTCACGGCTCTATGACCCATTCACCAATGCACTTGCAATTTGGTGTTGAGATTTCTTAGTCATGGTGTCATGACCTCACAAACTTTAGTGGCTGTTGGATGCGTACTTTGAGTTTTATTGAGGAGGGAAACTTTATTCTGAGACAGACCTCGTACACCGAAACGGCCACCTCTATTCTCACCCCGGGTGAGAACAGCGCAGGCGAGTCTTTTGGCTATTCTCACCCGGTGGGCGTTCCCCGTTATAGCCTAGGCCAACCAGTGAAGCGTTCACCCTGAACTACAGAATTCTACACTGTGATAACAGAATTATAGAATTCTGTGCTGTGAACAAACGTTCTAGATCTATTACTACTGTTAGTGTTAGCCTAAAAGCGTGCAATTTTGTCTGTGGGCAGTGGAGAGAGAGAAAGAGAGAGAGAGAGGAGTAGCGCGAGAACTTCCGGGCAAAACAAAATGGCGACCCGCGTAGTTCGGCTCGATTCGGAAAGTTAAATAGCCGTAGCATCTTTGTAGACAACCAAATTAATTTGGGAGTGTATACAGACCCGGTAACCGGGAACAAAGTCACAAAGTTTACAGTCCCGGTAGGGGAACTCTTTTGTGATTTTGGAAAGTTTCAGCGCCCTCTTGGCTCAGGCTCAGGGTAGACCACTGAATTCTACACTTAGTGTAGAATTCTGTGGTGTAGACCTAGGTTCTTCTAGATCTATGGCCTAGGGCTAGATCTAGACAGACTGAAATCATTGATCTGGTTTCGAGGCTAGCCAAGATCTAAATGAAGATTGCGGATGTCTTTTCGATGAACGATCGTTTTTCCTCCATTTTGGAGTTGGAGGAATCTCAATTTGAAGAATTTAGAATGCCGGAAATGTCATAATAATTTCAATCGAGCAGTCTCTCTGTCTCTCTCTCTCTTTGTGTGTGTGTATCACTCGCCTTCTCTTTTTCTTTGTTTGTCTCTGTCTTTCTTTCTCCCCACCTTTTTCCCACTCTATCTTTCTCTCGTTCCCTCCTGCCAACTGGGGCATGTCATGCATTTTGCTAGTATCTCTCTCTCTCTCTCACTCTCTCCCTCTCTCTCTCTCACACACACACACACACACACACACACACACACACATGCACTACCGGGTCTGGGCGCAGAAACTTTCCGAAATCACAAAAGAGTTCCCCTACCGGGTCTGTATACTTTGTGACTTTGTTCCCGGTTACCGGGTCTGTATACACTTCGAATTAATTTAGTTTTCTTGTTTAAAATCATTTTTTAACTTTGTTTTGGTCAAGAAAGTGGCTATTCTCACCCGCCCGGAAGTTCTCGCAAGATCAACTCCTCCCCTCTTCTCTCTCTCTCTGTCTCATTCTGAATACTGTCTATCGGTGTGGACGATCAAATTGACCAAAACAAAGTTAAAAAATGATGTTAAAACACAAAAGTAAATTAATTTTTTTGTCTACAAAGATGCTACAGCTATTTAACTTTTCGAATCGAGCCGAACTACGCGGGTCGCCATTTTGTTTTGCCCGCAAATTCTCGCGCTACTCCTCTCTCTCTTTCTCTCTCTCTCTCTCTCTCCACTGCCCACAGACAAAATTGTACGCTTTTAGTAGGCTACAGTTGTAATGGAACGTTTGTTCACGGCACAGAATTCTACAATTTTTCTGTTATCACAGTGTAGAATTCTGTGGTTTAGGGTGAACGCAAAATTTGGTGAACGCGCACCGGGTGAGAATAGCCTCAAGACTCGCCTGCACTATTCTCACTCCGGGTGAGAATAGAGGTGGCCTTTGGTCAATTTGATCGTTCACACCAATAGACAGTATTCAGAAAGAGACAGAGAGAGAGAGAGAGAGAGGGGAGGAGTAGATCTTGCGAGAACTTCCGGGTAAAACAAAATGGCGACCCGCGTAGTTCAGCTCGATTCGAAAAGTGAAATAGCCATAGCATCTTTGAAGACGATCAAATTAGCTTACTTTTGTGCTATAACGTAATTTTTTCTTGGCTTTTATCAATTCGATCA